GTCCGGTTTGGTTTCAAACCATAATTAAAATTCTCAAAACTAAACCAAACCGTTTTTGACCGGTTTGGTTTGGTTCGGTTCGATACCATTTCGTTGACGGGTCCACGTGGCACCAAACCGCCGATTTCGATTTCGGTTTAGTTTTCCGATTTGGCGATTTTTACTTATAGCTCTAATCTAAACGAATCGAACTGAACCTACGAGCGGGGGCCCGTTCAGCGAGGGGTAGATAGAGCCCAATGATATTGGGTGGAGTTGGGCTGGTTTTGGCTTTATTGAAGACAAAGTTCTAGTCTTGTAGATTATTACACACTAGATATACTAGGCTAGATTTCAGAATATATATGAATGAAAGAAAATGCTGGATGCAGCTCATGTAGTGTATAATATTCCTGGTGGACAAGTGTACTTGAGTTTTGCCATGTAGTAGCCAAGTGACACGCAAAGCACCATCACTGTCCATCTTTCACCTTGTATAAAAGAAGTCATATAAAGATGAAGATGTAAAGCAAACAAGAAGAAACTAAGAAATGGCTGAAGGAAGAGCCAGAGTTGTTGTCTGTGACGATATATGTGGCTGTCCTTCTCCGTGCCCGGGTGCCACCGCATGCAGGTTAAGCACAAAAAATACACAATGTTTCAGTTAACTATTTCTGGGTATCTCAAAAAAATACTGATATATATATATAATTAAAAAATGTATGCAGGTGCGTATCAGCTGAACATGTTGCAAGCATGGAGCACAAGCAGTGCTCCTGTGGCGAGCACTGTAGCTGCAATCCCTGCACATGTTCGAAAAGTGAGGTCACCGCGACGGGCAGGGATTTCTGTAAGTGCGCTCCCGGTTGCACGTGTACCACCTGCGCCGCTTAAGTAGTAGGGGTTATAAATATGTAGCTCTATGCCGTCTCCATCTGTATGTATGCAAAAAGTAATGTTGTTCTACTACGATCCAGGTAGCAAGCTAGGTAACTGCTTTGTTGTCTACTATCAATAATCTAGTACTTACTACTACAACTAGCTTTGTGTAATAAGAGTAATTAGCTACTGAATCTTCCTGCAGGACTGTCTTTTTTTATCGGATTCCAGACCAAAAAAATTTAAATTGAGTTTTAGCCCTGGTTATGAAAGCGATATGCACTCTTTCAATAAAATAATTTTACGGGTAAATTCACAAATTTTTAATCAAATCACATATTTTATTGAGTGCTATTAAAATTTACTAAAAATTTGATTTTCATCGTCACTGCTCGAACTTAATATCGAAGGGTTGCTGATCAGCTGAGCGCTAAACAAGAAATATATGACATCCTTCTTGTTATAAGTAATGAAATTGATGTTACACCTACTTTTCGTTCTTTGATTGATATTGGAATTTGAGCTTCATCTCATTAAGAGGATTTACATAAAACGTAATTTTATCTTTTCAACAAGAGACTCGTCGAAGTTGGAGTCCAAGTTTAGCACTTGAACTCTCTTTCGTGGACTTTAGTTCCTTAGCAATTAAGCTGTTGGGTTATTGATTTAGTGGACAATTAGCCCCTGTTTGAAACCCATTTTGGGAGAAATAGAAATTTTGGAATAGTGATTGATGTGAGAATGTGTGGTGGAAAAGTGATGAAAAGTTTTTGATTTGTGTGTAATATTATTTTATTAGGAGAATGTGTGGTTGAAATGAAGAATGAGAATGAGAATGAGAAATAGAAAGAGAAATTAATGGGTGTCAAACGGGGGCTTAATAGTGTTGCCGAAATCGGTGATTTCTCGGGGCTTAGTTAACTTTATCAAACACCTCAAATCGACAGCTCAAAATCACTACTACGCTCAACTCAGTGCAGGGGCGGACCCAGATAAATTTTTGAGTGGGAGCGAAGCCAGCTCGTTGAAATAGGAGGGGTCCAAAGTTGAAGGGGTGGTGGCTTACGAGGGTTCGGGGGCAGCGCCCCCGAAATCTTTTTTTTTTGGGAGTTGTTGAATAGTTTAGATTTAGCTGCATTTTCCCAACTAGTTCATGCTATATAGGCCATGAACGAAGCCTCTCACCCTGTATCAAACCCACAGATATATTCACTCTGACCATGCAATAGTTTTTGTAATAACAGATGATCAAAATGAGATTTATATAACATACCAATTTTTCAGCAATATTAGCCACCTGAGCTACTACGTGGCCAAAATACTTTCCTTTCGAATCGTGGACTTCAATTGTCAAATCATCTCCAAACCCTTCTGGCAAGCTATATTCAAGTGAGAAGGAAATTTAACCATCCAACTCTATGAGATTGAAGAATATGTAACAAGATTAAAGAGAAAAAGATTACATACAAAACATGAGTTCCACCAGATCCTGACTGCATTCGAGATAGAAAATAAGCTAAAAAAACTGTAAAAAAAATTAAAATTTTTTTTTTTTCCCCCTTCGTGGGTCCGCCCCTGACTCAGTGTATTCGCAAAGGACACAAATAGGATGGTGATTTGCAGCAAAGAAGGATGAAAGAGCAGGCACAAAAGAGGACAAATGTAGCCGCTGATTTCTTTAAAGCGAACCAAAGCGCACGCTTTTCTCCATTGTACTTGTGAAAGGAATCAATTGTACTTGTGGAAGGAACCACCAAATATATAGATAGGAAAACTTCACAACTCAGATTTTATCTATCCTAAAATAAAAAATTAGGTCCCAAGGTTTAAAATTGCAAAAATCAAATTTTTCATGAATTAATTAATTATATTTCACAATTATTATATTAAATTAAATATTTAATTGTAATATAATATAATTACCCCACCCCACCCCTGCTCCGACAGCTACTTCGATGACATATGACTATTTTCCGATCACATATCAAAAATTTTGTAGGTCGCGGATTATTTCGAGATCACATATCTAAAATTTTATAGGTCACAGTTTTTTATCAGTCACAGATCAAAAATTTTGTAGGTCACAAATTATTTCGAAGTCACAAATCTAAAATTTTATAGGTTACAAATTATTTTATTGGTCATAAATTAAAAAAAAATTATATTCCCCAGGTCACATATTTTCAAATTGGTTGGTCACGGATACTTTTTTTAGTTACAAATTATCAATTTTAAAGTCACAATTCAATAGATAGGTCACAGACACTAAAAAGAACCACCACCGCTGTTGACCAAATAATAATTATATTTTTCATTTTCATTCTACAATAATGAAAATTAAACTGGCCCTTGGGGTATATTTTAAGTGGGCTCTAATAATGGACTATTGGACCAACAAATGGTAAGGAGTCAGGACATCAAAGAGAGACATTCAAGAGGGACGTGACATGAGCATCTCTAATTAAATTAGATTTCTTTGGCTCCAAATAGTTTTTGGGTCGGATCATTTTATTAAAGTGTCGATATTTAATTCAGTCATCAATGTCAATTAAAAATTTCAACGACTAACATCATCGTCCAGAATTTATTGTATATTAAAACTCAACAAATAACTAAAGAAGATTAACAAACGGAGCTTATATTATTTTCTTTACAATCCAATCACCTTGGCTAACGGGGAAAGGACAATATAATATTGTATCATTCGGCAATCTAATATTAATATATAGAATAAAGCTAAGCGTATAAGCATGGTTGACAACACTGATTAACAATATGTGTTGTCAAAATTCAAGCATATGATGTAGATAACAGTTGTCAAAAATGAATGAATATGATAATACTAAATAGGAAGTTGCCAACCAACGTTATCAACAAAGATTGATTCTAATACATATGACTTGCGTTGCCTGCTTCTTTTCTGAAATCTCGTGACATCTTCCCAGAAGGAAGACAATTTGCATTGTAGTTGATTTGTAGTCTATTAAAATTGGAAGTATGTACGACATCCAAGACTTTTGACTAGAAATAAACATAAAAATGGAGAAATCTAACGTGTTGCTCGTTGAGAAAATTCCAATTCCAAAAGCATACAGTAATGCGTCAACGGCAGCATAATTCGTTGACATGTATGAGTTAAAGGCAGGCAGGCGGGTTTTGTGTACACACTGTATATTTTCTTTATTAATAAAAAGGAAAAAAGGAAAGGAAAAATCTAAATTCTTGTTTGATTAGACAAAAAATTGGTTTTAATAAATTTTAATAAGAGTTGATGAAATATCTGGTTAAAAATTTGATAAAAATCGTAAATTTCATAAAATGTATGGTTAAAAATGAGTTCGAAAAAAAAATAAATCTAAAATAGGAGGCCAAACATAGGCTTGATAATCAAAACTTGAAAAGGCCTTAATAATTAACTCCACCTTATCATGTTCATATTCTGCTTGCCATACCTTTTTCCAGTATTTCTTTCTTGGTGTAAAATTCAACTCATTTTTTTGACAAATAATACATAAATTCTTGACTTTCAACGCACTCTTTCAATTTCTGGGACATTAGTGAAGTAATGTGTACAACTGACTCTTCTTTTGGCCTTATTTTTTCTTCTGAGTACGCGGTGTTTGACTTGACTTTTGTTAGCAACAACAGGCAAAGACTCGTTCTTGCAAGTTTGTGTGATGCAGACGATTAAAAGATTGCTTTGCTTATCTGCAGGTCAATCGAGTCTTTCAATAAAACACCAGAAATATAGCTTGATCAGGGTAGGAATCGCTCCTGTAATTTGATTAAAAAGGTTTGATAGGAAAAGTTAGTATGGGAATTTGCTTCAGTTCCTCTGACTCAGTTAACCGGAGTCGTACTACCACCGAGCAATTTAGTTCAGGTGCGGCTTCTTTTCGTTCTTTTCCTATTTTTACAATTGGGTTTGTTCTGAGGGGCGGGAGGATTGTTTGGTTCGCTGAATTTTAAATCTGGCCTCTGCATAATCAGCAGTAATTAATTATTCAAGATTGCTAAAAAAAGGGCTAATAATTTTATAGTCTTGAATCCCATTTTTAAAATTGTTAGTATATATTGCAGTGGCTGTGTCACACACAACACGTTACACATCTTCAAGCGGCAGCATTGTTTCTGGGGATAGTAGATTCTCAGCAGGCAGTGGAGGTGATGAGGCTTATCCATCTGGAAAGATATTGCCCCACCCCAATCTAAGGATTTTCTCCTATTCCGAACTTAAGACCGCGACAAGAAATTTTAGAAGTGATACAGTGCTGGGAGAAGGCGGTTTTGGGAAAGTTTACAAAGGTTGGCTAGACGACAAGTCCACCACCAATGCTGGAAATGGATCTGTAATTGCTGTTAAGAAGTTAAATTCTGAAAGCATGCAAGGAGTTGAAGAGTGGCAGGTAACCACTGGTTTACTAAATTCTCTCAGAGTTTATTAAATTCGTTTATCTCAGATTGAATTTCTGATAATCAATTCGTAACTGTTTCTTAATTTATCTTTGCAGTCTGAGGTGAATTTCCTTGGCAGGCTTTTACATCCTAATGTAGTTAAGCTTTTGGGATACAGTTGGGATGAGAAAGAGCTACTGCTTGTTTATGAATTCATGCAAAAGGGAAGCTTAGAGAACCACCTTTTTGGAAGTAAGGAATTAAACTAATGCTAAAAAAATGTTGGCAGTATCAAAACATGGTTTTTCCCATTTAATGGTTGTCAAACAGTGGCTAAATTAACCTGCAAAACTGGTCCTACTCCTCCCTAGTAAGAGCTGAATAATTCATTTTGTTGGGGTTGGTTTGTGTAGGGGGTTCTTCTGTTCAGCCACTTTCATGGGACATTAGGCTCAAGATATTAATTGGAGCAGCTCAGGGTCTTGCATTCTTGCATGCATCAGATAGTACAGTTATCTACAGAGATTTCAAGGCCTCCAACATATTGCTTGATGGGGTAAGTTCTAATATTTGTGTATCAGTTTAGTTTATATCACCCGGACGCTTTACCGTTCTACTTTTATACTGTCTTATATTTCATTTATTTATGGAAGACAAAAGTTTCTCATTTATGCACATTGCAAATTTGTCTGTGCATGTTATTGGAGAGGTTTGATTTATTATTATTACTCAAAAAAATTTCAGTCATACAATGCCAAGATATCTGATTTTGGCCTGGCGAAAATGGGTCCAACAGCTAGTAAATCCCACGTGTCAACAAGGGTTATGGGGACACATGGTTATGCTGCTCCTGAGTACATCGCCACTGGTAATGAGCTAAAGATTTTGAGCTTTCGTGCTAAAAGCAAATAGAGGTGGCACCAACAGATATCTGTTCATGCTCTAATGTCATTTTCTTTTCTACCAGGGCATTTGTATGTGAAGAGCGATGTCTATGGTTTTGGTGTTGTTTTAGTTGAGATTCTTACGGGTTTACGTGCACTTGACACAAATCGTCCAACTGGGCAACATAATCTGGTTGATTGGGTGAAGCCACATTTATACGACAGAAGGAAGTTGAAGAAAATAATGGATTCACGTCTGGAAGGAAAATATCCATCCAAAGCTGCAATTCAAATGGCACAGCTTGCTCTGATGTGCCTTGAAAATGATCCAAAACATAGACCATCAATGCAAGAATTAGTTGAGAAACTGAAGCGCATTGAGTCAGTGAATGAGAAACCCAGAGAGACTAGAGCACATTCTAGACGTCAGGCAGCTAATCGACATGCCCACCAACCATTGCAATCTCGTTCTCCACTTCATCCAAGGCAAGACGAGAGTCCAGCGTATCCACTGCCATCTCGTAAAACTTAGCTAGCTGTGCTGTCTTTGCACACTTTTCTCCTCATTTTATGGCCATAAGACTCGAATGCATTTGCAATTGTAATAGTAGTTCAACTTGTAGAGATTTGTACCGCTGAATTGTGCTTAACGTGAAGATTGTTTTTTTGTACATGATGGAGGTTTTCCAAAGTTATTACCTTAATTTGAGGCATTACTTATAAGTTGAGAATCACAATATTTTTTATGATAAATTTAATTACCTCTGATCACTAAGCCCCTGTTTGGCCCCCATTATTTTGCATTTTATATGTTTGAAAATTTTTGGAATAGTGATTGATGGAAGAATGTGTGGTGGAAAGTAATGAAAAGTTTTAGATTCGTGAGTAATGTTATTTTATTTGATGAATATGTGATTGTAATGAAGAGAGAAAAAATTTAATGTAATGTAATGTAATTTAATGGGGGTCAAACAGGGACTAACCAAATATTACAATCGAGTCAATGAAATTTTAATTTGTCTGAATTAGATCATTGAACTCCAATTTTAGTTTTAAATTTGACAATACTATTATTTCTCCAATGGACAAAAATACTTGGCCCTTTTTTGGTGGGATTAAAAATCAGATTTTTAGTAAATTTTGATAAAAATTGATGAAATGTGCAATTGAAAATTTGTAAATCTTATGAAATATATAGTTAAAATTAATGATAATTTTAACTTAAATTAAAATTTAGATTTAATTTCTACCAAACAAGGGCTTCGTTGGCTAAGCGACCGAGTTAAGTATTCAATTCATATTTCTTCGAAAACTCAGTGACTCAAATTTATTTATTTACCTGGTTCCCACAACCCTTAACACCTAAACTGGAAATTTTGGGTAAAGTTATTCAAACAAAGTCGGTGACAATATGGGAAAAAACAAGTGTATGTGTCAGTACCTGTTTGGGTAAAAAAAAAAAATTTTAAACTGTCGAATCATTGAATGACACGTGGTCCACCTATTTTTATAAATGTCACTTACCCTTTTTTTAAAAGCAAAACCCGGAAATTTTTTAATATAAAAATGCTGTGAGAAATGAATATTGACTGTACAGTTTAACTTCAAAATTAGCATTTCCAAATCTTCAATTGTATATAAAATCCTCGATTTGATTCTTGCTAAAGCTTGTCGATAAATCGAACTCCGTGATTCTGCCCCTCTCGGATTGGTCTACCATGAGAGATCCTCGTAGAAGATTATTGATCTCTGCATTATTTCTGTCAATTTTCTTCCTCCCGGTAATGCGTTCACAAATAAAGAAAATCTTATTTCTGTATGATTAATCATTCCGATTTTGTTAAACGCTTTTTAGGTCACTCATTGGATCTGGTGTACTGTAGACTGGTAACTACTTGATTAAATTGCCACGCTTGCTGTGTCTTTTAAACTTGCTAGAACATTATCTGTCCTATATGAGCCTCCATCGATGTTAAATATTTTGCGTAAAAAAAAATAAAATCAAGAATTTGGGTTTAATTTCTTATTGACTTTATGATTTGATGTGTGTACCAAATGTAGGTGACAGTACATTATCTAGGTTTCATCTGCTGGGAAGCTAAGATTTATTGTTGTGAAGACTTGACAATCTTTATCTACTGCCATATTGTATTTATGATTGCAGCACATTTTACTGCGTTCCATTATTTCCCTTCTGGTTGGAAAGATTCAGTTTCTATATTTTATTAGTGCACAAGTATTTTCCATCATATTAATTAGTGTCATACTGTCAATGATAAATTGGGAAGTTTCCATCATATTACTAGTGTCATACTTTCAATGATAAATTGGGAAGATATCGGCATTGTTTGAAAAGTCTGACATGTTTGTTTCTTGGGAAACACCTTTCTTTGTTACATTGGCGGCCTTCTAAATTTGGAATTGTTTGACTCCGTTTAGCTTGTCCATGTAGGTCATGATTCAGGTTGCTCAAGTCAGAGCAGAATTTTCAGATATGTCAACAATGTAATGCTTGTTTTTCCTAAGATTCTCTAGTTTCAGCAGGATCAAACTTTAGCACGTTTACCATTATAATTATTCCTTCATGCCACTGATGTTATAATTTCCTGTATTTTGCCCTCCTTTATCAGTAGAAGAGAGCATGAAGAAAATTTTCTCCTCTATGACTGTCCAAAGTGTCTCGACAGACAGGTACTAGTTTCATTCTTTTTAATTACTACCCAGAGATGCACTTTCTTAGTTTAGTGCTTGATTGTGATTTTTTAAAAAATAATTAATGAAACATAGATGGATCCAGATAGACTGGCATGATTGTCAATCATGATAGTCGTACAATAACTGGTGCAAATACTTTGTCCATGTCTCTGAAACTATTTTATTGCACAAATTGATGTTTCACTTTGCGATGGACTAATAACTGCTCAACAGGATCAGAGTAATATAAGTTCTGCTGCCCATCCGGATGAAAAGGTAATGAACTTCTTTCTTCTTCTTGTGGCAGAGATCAGGATGATGATTTGTATCACTACTTTGTGCAGGATATCGATATAATTGTTACATACAGTGATCTTTCTGGTGCTGTTCGAATTAGGAGTGTCAGGTCCAGGGATTTATCTGCTTCCTGGGTGTGGAAAAGCCCTAGCAATGAGAATTATAGCCTGACAAAGAGTTCACAGGTTACTGTCTCAGTGCTAACTTTCTCTCTCTCTTTCTCCAGTTGCCTGATATTGAGATTCGTTCTTACTATGTAGGTCACTTTTTCGATTGTATTGTCTCAGGTTGTTGAAGACCCTTTTCGACCTACACTGAGCTCCAGGGATCCGGGCAGGTATACAACTAATGATCATCAATATGGAAGTCAAATGCGTCATCCACAAGCATCAGCTGCGCATCCACTGAAACTCAAACGACGGGTGAAATGTCAACGTATTTTATATGCTTATCGGGTGTATTTGTCAATTAGATTTTTGTTCTAATGTTCCCCATCCTGCAGATGTTACGAAGAGAAAGGAGAGAAAGGCGGACAGCAGAGCTGATCCAACAAGACAAAGAGATTGATAACCAGATGCAAGAAGCTGCAATCAAACGAGCTATGGAGCTTGACACCACTGTCAAGGGTAGATATAGTATATGGAGGAAAGAATATGAAAATCCAAACTCTGATTCCACTGTAAAACTTATGAGAGATCAGATCATAATGGCCAGAGTTTATGCAACCATTGCAAAAGCTAAGAATAACAATATGCTATATGATTCTCTAATGGAACATTCTAGAGAAAGTCAACTTACTCTTGGAGAGGCAACATCTGACTCTGAACTTCACCCTAGGTCTTGCTACTTGAACTCTCTTGGGTAAATAAATTTAGGTATTGGCTTTAGGCTCTTACACAGAACTTTTTTTTTGCATGCATGCAACAGTGCTCTAGAACGAGCAAAAGCCATGGGTCACATCCTTTCTACTGCCAAGGACCAATTATACCATTGTATGACTATAGCAAGGAAGTTGCGGGCCATGCTTCAGTCATCTGAAACGAATGTAAATGAACTGAAGAAGAAGAGTGCTTTCTTGATACAGCTAGCTGCAAAAACTGTCCCCAAACCGTTGCATTGCCTTCCTTTACTTCTCACAACAGAATATTACCTACGGGGTTATGAAGAAAAGGATTTCACAAATAGAGAGAAACTTGAAGATCCGTCTCTATACCATTATGCCATCTTCTCTGATAATGTGCTTGCAGCATCTGTTGTTGTGAACTCTACAGTGCTGCATGTAAAAGAGCCTGAAAAACATGTTTTCCATATAGTAACAGATAAGCTGAACTTTGCAGCCATGAAAATGTGGTTTCTTATGAATCCTCCTGCAGGTGCAGCAATTCAAGTCCAGAATGTAGACGATTTTACATGGCTCAATTCTTCATACTGTCCTGTTCTACGCCAGCTTGAATCTGCACGAATGATAGAGTATTATTTCAAGGCACATCAGACATCATCTCTCACTGCTGGCTCTGATAATCTCAAGTATAGGAATCCAAAATACTTGTCCATGCTGAATCATCTTAGATTTTACCTTCCAGAAGTTTACCCAAAGCTTAATAAGATATTGTTTCTGGACGATGACATTGTCATTCAGAAGGATCTGACACCTTTATGGTCTGTTAATCTGCAAGGGATGGTAAATGGTGCTGTTGAAACCTGCAAGGAGAGCTTTCATAGGTTTGATAAATATCTCAACTTCTCTAATCCAAAGATATCTGAGAATTTTGATCCCAACGCTTGTGGCTGGGCATTTGGTATGAATATCTTTGATTTGAAGGAATGGAGAAAGCGTGACATAACTGGAATATATCATCATTGGCAAGATATGGTGAGGAACTATTTGATTATTATCTCCTCCATGTGGTGCTTTCTGGAAATATAAGTAGGCGCGAATTTTTTATTATGCCTTTCATTGTGAATGAAAATGATATTTCTTTTTTAAGTGTTATATCATATCCATCTCGAAGTTGAATTAGATTGTGGAATAGTACCAGTCTGCTAGCTTATTATGTAGGAGTTTATATGTTTTCATTCTTTTGTGTGGAACATTGCTTGAATGCGTTTGATTTCTATAATAATCATGGTCATTCATAAAAGGGAATTTTGAGACTCCTAAAGTGGAAATTGAGGATTTATCTTATTGAATATAAATCAGGAGTCAGGAAATTTTAGGATATGGTTTTCAATATACAGTTTCAAGAGCACTTTTATGGAGATGATGTTATCATTGTTTCTGCTCTGTGTTGTTGCTGCCTCTGTTATTCCAGAAAGACGTCCTTTGGCGTCAATATTTTTTCATCTTGTGGCCCCCAAAATCAATTGCTTCTTCCCTATGGTGGCTAGAGGTAGTGGTGTTACCTTTGCTGGGTTGATTCTTGAGAAACGGGTTTCTAGCCCAAAATCCTCATTTATTTTTCCTTTTTTTTTTTTTGAGTTCATACAACAGTTTTCCTTTATATAAGGTACACATTTGCTAGCATACATATGCGCAAAAAAACCATCTTCCATTTCTTGATCTGTAACCAGGTATTTGATCCTCCTTTAATTCTTTTATAAAGGATGTGACTAAATAGGACTGCATATGGGATGTCTTCATGACAAAACTTTAAACATTACTTTTTCCTGCACTTTATCCAAAACCTCGTTTAGCTTCCACCTTTACTGCTCTATCTCTTTGCAAGCATGCATTTGCGTGTTTGATCCCAACTCATGTAGATTTTTGTTTGCAGAACGAGAACAGAACTCTTTGGAAACTTGGCACATTACCTCCTGGGCTGATAACTTTCTACAACCTGACCTATCCTCTGGATCGGAGCTGGCATGTTTTGGGACTAGGCTATGATCCTGCTCTTAACCTCACAGAGATAGAGAATGCTACTGTTGTCCATTATAATGGAAATTATAAACCATGGTTGGATCTTGCCATTGCAAAATATAGATCTTATTGGTCTAGATATGTGATGTTTGACAATTTATATCTTCAACTCTGCGACATTAATGAGTAATGGATGTTCTTTTTCTAGTAAATTTAATTTTGTATTTTCTAGTGTAATGGTGTTTCTGAGAATTTTGTTTTAATACAAGTTTTGAAAGCCACATTTATTCTGGCATTATCTCTCTCTGCTTCATCCCGAAAGATTTTCTTACTCTGTTGAGGATTTTCTTACTCTAGATCATTCTCCTGTTTTTTTTCTTTTTTAAATTTGATATAAATTCATTATAACTGTTTATTTTCCTGTCTTAGCGCTCGTCTTTTCTTCATATGTTGTGAAGTTTTTGCGACATCTTGTATTTATCTCCTAGCTCGATCAATGTGCTGCTGATATGCAACATCTCTAAGTAGATGTCCATCCTGCATTCGACTTCATCCTCTTCACGTTTCTGTAACAGTATTACTACAGATTATCTATAGAATTTTTGATAAACTGGTTATGTCATAATCATGGAGGTCAAGTACAAAGGAATTGACAACCAGCAGGTCACTGTTTCAAACCTCCACAGGGACTGTAAATGGACTGGACAACAGAGAAAAGATACCTAATGTAATCAACAGAGTTTTCAGTATCCCCAACCGTTTGGCAATATTCTAGCTTTGAAGTAAAAAAATAAACTTCAAAACCACAGGACTTGTACTCCTTCCAGAGTAAAAACCACCTAGGATGGGTCAATACCACCAAATGAACTTCCAAGGTCTGATTAATAGGCTTGAGTCACTACCACCAATTTCACTGGTGCTTCAGAGATTTAATGGCATAAGCACTTATTCAGAATCATCATCCAAATATTTTAGATTAACTCTATCGGAATCATCTTTATTGAAACGCCTCAGAATCTCTCGCATTAAATCTCTGAAGCCCCAGTGAAATTGCAGACTGAATCTGAAATTTTCAAGTCACATTTACTCTATGAGTGTCTATATCATGTAATCTCTGGTTGTTATTCTTTGTCACTGGAGGTCGAGCTTCGGTAGAAGCATGCTTACTGAAAATTTTGTGACTAGGATCTAACCAGAAGCTATGAATCTTCCTGGCGAATCTCACGCAATTGAGTATCACTCCATGATCTCTTTAGCATAGCTCCAGTTTGCTCTGATGATAAAGCATCTACATTGCTGGAGGCATTGACAGCAGAGGATGATTGCTTCACACCTGTGGAACAACAGAAACTTGAACGGGAGCTATGGCTGCCAGAAGAAGGAGATTTTGAAATGGTGGTTCTGGGGCTAAGCAAGCTGCTCTCTGGCTCAGTGTTCACCGGCTGCAAATGACCACTCATGTTTGATGTGGATAGGCGACCAATTTCTGGTAAATTTGAATACACGAGTTCTGGGAACTTGTTATAAAAAGAACTGAGTTGAATACAGCCCTCGGCACCCTGGACTGAGTTGATCACAATTTGAAGTTTCCTCAATGAGTGATCAACTTTCTTGATCTTCCGAGATGGCCATCGCGTGATCCCATAATGTCTGCAAATTCTTTTCAAGGTTGTTGGACACACTGCAATAATAAAATGGATTAGCAGTGTATTATGAGTTGGAAATAGCCTTGCTGTTCATCATGTAAGATTGACATTGCGCTTCAAAGCATTATATTGAACTTGTGAGAAACACAACCAGCCACAACACTATTATGTGCAGGATGCCTCAAAACAGAGAGATTGCACAGAGCAATATAAAGATGCCAACATAGCTCTCCATCTCTTTATGTTAGTTATATCATAAAATCCGTGTTTAGCAAACATGACAGTTCAATTAATATTCAAGAAGGAAATGTGCGGTTATTTTAGTAAAAGTAACTAATGGTATACACTTTATATGAGTTCAAATACTGCTCTGGGCAAACCAAAATGCCAGTAGTTGTCAAGTTTTTTCTGCTTGCTCATTTCTATTAAAAATTATCATAGAAGTCTTGGGATCCATCTCACCCATAAAACTCAGGTTGAAGTGAGGGAAGTAAAATTGCACTGTTTCAACCACCTATTGATCGTGAACTGAGGGGAAACAGATATCAAAATAATTCAAGTAAGAAATAGAACACATTGTAGGATATTTTTTTGTTTTTCCTGGTATGAATAAATATAGAACAGTCAGGAAATTCAAGCAATTCTTGTCCAACCAAATGCAGAGAAACAGGGATCAATAACAGTTTTAAGGTTTCTTAGTGCTTTTCCATACTACCATACTCATGCTCGTACTCAAGCAGGTTCCAAGTTGCCAGTAAAATGTCTTCCTGATAAGCAAACTAATTTCGTGATGAATGTTGTCATACCTCCAATATTCTTGGCAGCATCTTTTAGGCTCATAGCAAAGTATTGCCTGAGTACTTGCAAGCTAATGGTCTTCTGAGTCTTGGTCCGTCTCTTTTGGCCTGTTATTTTAGCACCTGAGGAAAGATGCCCACCAAAAAAGGAACAGTCTCCACTATCCTCAGCACTTTCTTTGGGAACAGTATCTTGCTGGATGTGGTCATGTTCTAAAGAGGCAAGCATGTTATGCAACTCCATGTTAGATTTATCCCATTGAGTTACCACCTTAAACTCTTTGTTGTTTTGTGTCATCTGCATAATCCGGGATGAAGCAGGGAAAGAGGGTTCTTGGGAAGGAGAAGTTACCAACTTTGGATATATTTGCTCATCTAATATACCAACTGAAGTGCCAGGCACTTCTCTACCTGACATTGGCAATGAAGTTTCTATTGGTAAGTGGTGGTCAGAGCAGGCCTCAAGAAAACCAGAAACTTGTGGATCCGCCACATAGCAGGCTGAGTAAATTGTTGAAACACAATTTGCACAGTTCTCATTGGAGTGCCTGCACCCACTTTTACCCTGTTGAATACATGGCGCCCATGTCTGTGCCAAAGGCAATTTATGTGTATCGCATACACATTTCAAGACGTCTTTAATCTCTGCTAAAGCAGCTTGGTAAGACTCACTGCAGTCCTGCTATAAAATTACACCTCAGACATAGGGAACGAAATCAAAATTTGAAGATTACATAACCCTTGGGAAAATATATAGCCTACCTCTACTCTGGGAGGAATCAGGATATTAGAACTCTTAAGATCAACAGCCTGGAAGAAAATTATTTTATGCAAAAAAAAAAAAAAGAGCAATTACACGTTTTGTTATTTTACCGTATGATAAGCTAAATATATAAGAGAAAACATGAGATCGAAGCCACCAGTGCAAGAAATTCTTGCCTTCCTGAAAAATAAGAGGGGAGGTACAGAGGTTCTTGGATGAACAAATGAAAAGAAATGAACTCAGATGGAAATTACTAGACGTTAGGAGAAAATGAGGGCTCATCTAGACAGGAGAAATGAAATTCAACAATTTGGGATTGAGAAGTGGAAGCATCTAAAGTAAAATCAAGCATCCCTAATATAGAAGCATGAGCAATGCGATACCATTTGAATGAAAAACGTTATCCACAGCAACAAGTTTCAGAAAATGTTTTTTCTAGAGACCTCTACTAAAATACTGAAATTAACTAGTTAGTGTGTAAAGCTCATATAGCATATCTTTGGGGCTCCAATTGATCATTGGTGTTCTATATTGAGAAAAAGCTGAAATGCTGTGATGACCTATTGGCAGAACTGAGGCTGTTAAAAGTTTTCCAACTTATCTTGGCGTACATAATGATCAGCAGCTCAACAGATTTTTATCCAGGTTTTGCTAAAGATCATTTCCAACCAAGTTACATGTAACTTCTATTCTCTTAGTTATTAAACTAGAAACAAAAATTAGAGTGAAGAAGAAGATGAGACCTCTAGAGCTTTGCAGACATTTTCAAGTTCAGCGAGATAATTAACATTTTGACGAGTTGTCACAATCTCAACTACCCCCAAGCAATTCCCGCTTCCTCGTTCAAAAACTGGAAGAGCAAGTGATCCTCTAACATTGTGCTGCTGGGCATACTTAACAAGTGAAAACACTTCTCCTTTGTAAAAGCGAACATCTGGAGTCCATTCTGGCAATTTGTTCAAGAAAACACGGCCAGGCAACCCAATGAACTCCATAGAATCTTCATCAGCTTCAAACTGACAATTTTGGGAAACATTTCTATATTCTGCAAGAATTTTGCAGTTCGGATTTAATGAAAATGGTTGGTCCTTTGTTGTAAGGACTTGGCGTCCTCCTCTCCGTATGGGGAGCCACATCTGAATAAGGACATCTTTCTCTCTCACGAATTCCTTCAGGTACTCTAAAGCCTGCACTAATCTCTTCTTCACTGAGATGGTAAGGTATGGATTTCTATTTGGTTCAACCGACAACACTTTATTCACTTCAGTACTTTCGGCCCCAAAATAGGCAGATTGGCTTAGAGATGCTGAAGGAACAACAACTTCCTGGTTTCGTGCTTGACTTCCAACAAATTCTTCCATTTGGGGATAAGTTAGAAATGGATTGTCAGAACAGTCTGATATTTTTATTTCCTTGGAATCCAAACCGCCTACTTTAGTCTCTGGAGCGGGAAAATTGTACGAGGAAGAGTAAAAATTGGTCGTAGTGGATTGACAGGGTTGCCAAGAGTTGGATGTGTTGGTAGTCTCAAACCTGATTTCATCATACAGGAGTTCATCCATAAAATTGAAATCAATAGTGCTATCTGATAGAATTTCCAGCACTGAATTAGGTGTGATGCATCCATCTTCCATGATGAATACTTGTCGAACCTCTATTCCTAAACCATCAAACATTCAAACAAGTCACAAGCCAAAACACAGAAGCATCGCCAAATTTGGAAAACAAGGAGGAACTCCAACAAGGATTCCCTTCCCTTGTCTTCCAAATCTCACTCAGTGTGAGTGGCACAAGCATTGTTAATAAAAAAACATTGTTAGCAACTGCAAGCAGAAATACAAGAAAAAAAAATTCAAACATAAATAAATATATTCCAGAAGAGAAATCACCTTATATGAATATACAAGTTTTTTATGCATGTGCTTGCGCTTGCTCATATGGATTCAATCACCTGCACACTTTTCACCTTTTTATAGACTAGCAACACCCTCCTCCAAGTTGACTTTTTAATCTGTGCATCAAAATTGACAATGATCAGTAGTCATTATCCAATGGATTAAGATTGGCAATACCCAAAATAATCTCATTATTTCAACTCTTATTAATTATTATAATTATGTATTTGGTTTGATAAGGATTATCAAATGATAAGACGACTACTTCGTACCCCTTACCTTTCTCAAGAAAGAAAGCCATATGATTACGGGACAATAATGCAAAATTACGTGATTGACAAAGAACTCCAATCTTGGCAATGACAGTGTAATATTTTTCATAATTCTATTAATCACATAGTCAACCCTAAAGTACATGGATCATATCTTTTATAATTACAAAATTTCACTGAACAGTTTCTTACTCTATTCAGTACTTACTAAACACCCACAAATATACTATGTTTACAAGGAACGTCTACTTACTAAACAACATCGACATGACATATTAATTCTATAGTGTATGAGGTACTGAAATGAGCCACATTTTTGTAAAATGAAAATGAAAAATATAGTCGTTATTAGGAGCCCACACAAGAGATAGAAAATTTAAATGCTGATGTGATGGATAACAGTCATATTTTTTAATTTTTTTGGATGAAAAATGAGAAACAAACGGAGACAAAAAATAAGGTGGCCCAAACGGGACTGAATTACTATAATTTAATTTGCTATCTTTCAAATTGATAAAAAGAAATATCCAAATGACATTCGTCTACAATATATCTTTTACGTAATCATCGTGTGACATGCTAATGTACCACTGTCACATCATAAAGTATTAAAATAAAAAAAATATTGCGTCTTTTAACCTTTTTAATTTAAAGATAGACATAACTTTCATTTTATCACTTTTGTTTCTTGAGAATCACATAACAATTACGCGAAAGATTAGTTAATGTACCACTATCATAAAGCAATTTCTGTTAGTTTGGAAAACAATATGTGATAGAACGTTACAATCAACAAAGTGGTGAAATTTGTGTATTTTTTTATGTATGTATGTATGGGTAAATCGTGATCATGGAGGGGTTATAAAAAGTTACCATAATTTTCCATGAAAATTAATTAGAAACGTTAATTGTATATTGTAACAACTTGCATTAGTCATTGATAAAGATGTCAAAATATTAGTGAATAATGATGCATTGCCAACAATATAATAAATAGTTGAGACGGTGATAAAATTGTTAAATAATATTGTAGACCCAACTTAGCATTTTATAGTTTTTGAATTTTCTTCGAACATAGATAGGAGTTTCTCTTAGATATACATTTTGACTTTTTTTTTTCTTTATTGAACTTTATTTCTCAGCATTATACACTATATAATTATTAATCATCAATGAGAAGATTGAGGCTAGCCGACTCATCCACTTGGTATAATAAAGATTCATGAATGAATTTTTCGACCCAAATATGATATCCGTCCATCATTCAGATGATTTCCTTTGAAAGATTGTTGACATGGCTAGCAGAAATCGTACTTTGTGAATGGCACTATTTATTTTTTCGAACACATGTTTTAGCCAAATGTTAACATTGCCAACCCTCCAACCACGGTTCCATACTAAATTGCCTACTTATAATTAATTAATCAACAACTATCAAGGTGTATCACGCAATCCCGATATCTTGCTCCCAATGGACAGAATAAAAACTTCACACGACTGACGTTACAAGAGAACCTTACTTATGGTATCCTGCCCACTTGGGACAGTAAATCAATTTCAATGTTTATCATACGCCATATTAGCATCCAAAATTAGTAAATATTTCCTGCGTATATGATGAGGGTACAATCATGAAAACCAATAATATATCTTGTTGATTAATAAATTAAGCCCCTATTTAATGTAGATTAAAATCAAATTTTTAATAAATTTTGATAAAACATGTGATTAAAAAGTTATGAATTCTATAAAATATGTGGTTAAAATTAATTGTTATCTTTGACTCGAGATTTTTGAATTTTAATCCAAATCAAAAGGGGCTAAATAATAAAAAATCAAGGCAACCATGTTTAATGGATAGAGCTTAATCAATCATTAAATTTTGGGAGCACCATACTTAGTACAAACCCTGAGTCATATATTTTTTAAATTGTATAAATATTTCTATCAGTAAAAGCAAATAAAGGATTAAATAAAAGGAATTTATAATTATTTTATCAAAGTCTTAACCTTAAATCTAGTACCATGCCTGAAGAATTAGGACCATGCTATGTGTACACAATGGTGTACACACGGCCTTACACCCTCTTCACATGGAGGGGGGCCTACGTACAATAAAATATTTGTGGGCCCCCTCCATATGAGGGGGATGTAAGGCCGTGTGTACACCACGAGGTGTACACATAGCATTATTCGAAGAATTAGTGGTAGCATCATCTTCACGTGAGGCTGTAGGCAATTTCAAGTTCAAATTCAAACCACCATCGCCGCCACTGTCTTTGGCTGCAAAAGCATCATTATCAGAATTGTGAGAGAGGAGAAGAAGAGAATCAGAATTCTATTCAACTAAGAAATGAGGCGTA